TTACAAAGTTGGTGCTGGGCACGTGAGCCAAGCATAGCAACCCTCTGACGCAGATGAGTGCATGGCAGCAGCTAGGGAATGACATATGAGAGATCAACCAGGGAAGTTTCAAACTACAGCAGGCTACAGCCTGACTTTACTAATGCTTTCTACTTCCAACTTCGACTTTTATCCTAAGATCAGATAACAAGTAGCACTTTTTCTATGTAACAATTCATTAATCAGAGAAATGATCCTTGCTAGTGTTTAGATGTTTCACTTAATTCGGTACTTCTGGCCTGCTGCCCCAGTAGTGCCAAAATTATTATTTCTCACCCAGCAGGTGATAAATAACAACTTCAGTCATGATTAATACCATGAATTTCTCAACCTGACTAATGCAAAAAACTTCAAACCTGCAGAACAAGTGGGTGCTAATTGTTGTGAGAGCCATTGGAGCTGCACTCTGCTTGTAAAGAAAGAAAGCCACAGGAAATGAAGCATTTTCTAGCACCACAGCTGATCCTAAGAGGCATCATTAAGTGTAGCTCAGCAGCATTCTCCATGTGCAGGTCTGTGCTAGGCTCTTTTCCTTCCACAACACTGAGCTTTAAGTAAATTTGAGAAGCAGATTGCCAGGTTATTTTTCTTTCCTTAGGAAGGAGATGGGGAAATAAAATAAAAGGCAGAGAAATTAGCAGATTAATATCTCATTAACAGCACTCAATACTACAATTTTTACTGATATGTGAAGAGTGACAGAATGTAACAGCAGCTGCTACTGCTGAAGCTCCTTCCTGTAATGTCTGTTTTGAAATCTCATCACAGTATCATAAAATGTATCATCAGAGACTTCCCAGTCAAGGAGAGCTCTCTTCAGAGAGGGACAGGAAAACCAGGGGCTCAGGAAGGGCTGTCAGCTGGAAACAGTGATCCAATACCATCAATCAGCCTGTGACTGAAAGCCTGGCCACTTTCAAACCACAAGCCAGTTGGCTACAGCCCGTGGTGGCGCAGGATGGTTGGTCCATTTTCCATGCCATACATGCAGCGGTGCAGGTTACAGAGGATCCAGTTCAGCTGCGCATACGCTGACATGCTGGTCAGGCAACTGAGACCTCCACAGCCTCTGGAACTAGCACCACCCATTTCTGACAGGAGCAGACACGAAAACCCAGCAAGGGCATGACCAGGTGATTGTGCTGAGCAGGGTCTGTGCTAAGCAAGGTTACTACCACACACCCAAAGAAGTGTCTTGGGAATGGAGGAGAGGTCCTGTTTTCACTAGCATTTTCCCAACTGTTTTAGCTGCACAGGGCAAGGAAAACATCCACTACTTTCTAGCTTGCGTTTGGGTCAACTTGAGCATCTCCATGTGAAGCTAATAATTCGCGGAACAAAAAAGACTGTGAGAAGCAAACCACCGGCAAGTAATGTATACATTGTTCGGGTTTGGTAATGCCTATTCACTTGTAGTTATGAGTGTTGTTACAACTTTCTGTAGTTTTGTTTCAGTGACTCCCACAGTTCTTCATGGGGCATATTCAGAGAATGTATGTTAAACCACAGTGCAGCTGCTCTAGATGCTCTTTCTGGTAGAAATCTGATTTTTGTCTTTATTTTGGGAACCTCCAGAAAGCTCTAGTTCCATCCAAAACAGCCTCTGGGAGCTTAGGATTTTTGAGCTTGTAAAGCTAGAAAAGAAAATTATCATCCATGCTGTCCTGCTACATGAATCAGACCGTAGGCTTTCCTGGCCCAGTTCCTGTCTCTAGTGCAGGAGTTGTGCTTCAGTCACAGGAGACCTCCTAGAAAAACACACAACCCAAGAGTAAAATTTTCACTGACTGCATTTGCACAGCCTTGACCAACCAAATGCCCTGTTGACTTCACCTTGGATTAAGCTGGTTGGTTGACTTGCTCAAATCGCATACTAGGAAGGTTGTTTGGCTTGGGTGGAATCCGGTTTCTTCCACACTTTACTGGTTTTATTGCTAGACTTATTTCAGCTGTTCATTCATTTACCTGAACTGCAGATAGCATTTCAGGAGCTGTCGGTATCAGTGTCCTGTCTAGGATTGCAGCTTCTCAGACTTAAAGCACGGCTTCCAAGCTTTGGTCCTTGGTGCTCAGCTTGGTCTGCTCTGTAGCACCAGGCATGGTAGGAATATCATTATAAAAAAGCACAAAGGCTTCTTGTACTTATGAAGTACAAAGTATGTCATTTGTGTAGGATTTTAATAGCTATTTTCAACACTGGTAGCAAAGCCAAGATTTTCCTCGTTCTAGGCGATACCTAAATTTAGAGCTATGAGGTGCAGCCTGAACTACAAACTTTCCCTGTGGGAAATGTGCCACAGAGAAAGTATGCTTTTCAGTCAAGGAAGTAAGGAATGCCTTTTCCAATTTACATTCTGGGTTACTAATGAAGTTATCAAAGTCACACACAAAGAAGGTGTTACACAAAGTTTGGTTAAACTTTCATAAACTATTCAGTTTAGCTTCCAGAGCTCAGTCTCTGCTTGTCCTCTCACTTCAATATTGAAAACTCCATGTAATTTCCCTGTCTCTGTATCCTTAAGAGCCGTCTGAGTAGCTCAGGTGGATTTACACAGCCTCTGTTTGTAACAGATCAGTATCTTGCTGAACCCCTTCCACAGCATGAGTGTATTTTCTAGATGAGACGTTCAAAATAGGTTAATGCCTATGGCTACCTCAGTGAAGTTATACTGCTTGCTGTATGTTACCACACAAAATCTGCAATAACTAGCTGTTCCACATTCAAAGTGGTGTACTCTCAGCACTTATCTGCCCCACAGAAACCTTGCCAAAATAGGGAAACATGGTTTAAGTCAAAGCTGTTTCAAAGCAATCCCTAAAATTTGATTACCAGGTTGCTGATGTACACTCCAGCCTCGAAAGAGGAGGAATAGATAATACCTGTCCCCTTGCACTTTTTCAGACCACATGTAAGTTAATGCTTGTGCATAGGTGGGGTTGGAAATCCATTAAGTAGATTACTCCTGTAGTTCAGTCTACTGGCAGCAGAACTGCCAAAACCACAGAAGCTAGCTTAAAATCTTTATTCCTGAATGGTGCTCTGTAAATAGCAGGAGGTTAAAGATAAGTTTAATTGATCTGGATTAAGATACTTCAGTTCTCACAGAGGGTTCCCCTATCTGGTGATGGCACTGCTAGTTTTAGAAACGATATTAGTGTGTTTTCTCTCAAAGTAGTGTATATCATAATATTCTCTCATACCCCACAACAAATCCTTTTCTAGTTTTTCCAGAAGTTGCATGAATGGAGAAAGGTAGGTTCAAAAGAATTATCTGGGTTCTCATCTACTGACTGCTTTGACAGCAGAAATTGCCACTAAGCAGTCGAGAGCTGATGGGGTTTAGTCTGAAAAGGTATTCAGCATACACATGCGAAATTTTAAGACTGAAATGCAGGACAAAGACAATTTTCCTGTCCTGGCAAGAGTGATTTGATACAGGGCCAAGACTCTCTTACATATCAGTATCTAGGTAGATACTCCAGTAGGACTCCTGTATGATAAAGCAGGCGGTGGGAATGCAGCTCCATTTGCAGTCGAGATGACAGGAGTAGTCCCCTGCAGCAGGAACGAGTAAGCAATAATGGTTCACAAGCCACAAAGTCCAGGGAGAACCAGCCAGTCCAAGGCACACAGCTGCTTTCTGTTCAGTTTTTAAGAGAGAAGAAAATGGCAGCAAAAAACCTCATGACCATTGCATAGACAGTTCAAGCCATTAAGTATTTTCACACTGAGGAGTAGAGTCAAAAGAATGTATTTCATAGTACAAAAACAATGGTTCAAACTAGCCAAACAGCTTGAGCTGGTTCCCAGTTGTGCCCAGGACTTCAGGAGTGCACAAGGACTGGTTTTGCCACCAGCACATTCCTGGGGTGATTGGTGCTCTTGAACAAGTGTCAAGTACAACTGACAAAGCAGAACAGAGTGGTGCCATTTAATGTGTTTGAAGAAATGCTAGTCAGATCAAGCTCTTGCCTACACACACGAACTCTCCCTTGAGAAGCTGCACATTGCCAGGGTTTTTGGAGCACCACAATGATTTTTTCTTGGTTTACTGCTCTATTATTGCGCCTATGTGTGCCACAGGATAATGCAGAGCCAGAAGGACCGAGGCATGCCAGCCACAGGCTCATACCAAGTCCTTCTGCGAAGAGAACCACCCCAGTGAGTATGTCAAAGTTCAGAAGCAACATTAGCATACTGGGAACAGTGAGATAGACGCTGACATAGCAAATTCATTTCTTAAGCAAAGAGCAAGACAAGCTAAGGATTAAAACTGGGAAATCATAGGGGGGGAAAAAAAAAAAAAAGATGTCAATCCAAAACCCAAAGGTGAGTAAGAAATAAAAGCAGAGTCAGGACACATGTAATAAGTAGTAATGACGGCCAGGAGCTACCTTGGCACAAAATAAGAACGGATAGAATAAAATCCCATCACTCGTGTGCTGCAGAGCTCGAAGATATTTTTGTCACCAAATTTCTGAATTAATTCTAGCTGAGGCAAGCAAAACTGAGATCTCTAATGAGTCCTTTCATTCCCAGCTCAATACTAGTTTACCATACAGCTGTCTTCCAGGTGTCCTGCCAACAGGATCCCACTCATTAACTATACAGACATTAATTACATAGACATAAAATTTAGTAAGAACGGCATTTAGAAAGATCAGAGTGAAACTTTTAAGATTTTGTTTTGTTTTGTTTTTAATACAGATACAATATTTTTCCAAGGTCACTTTAGAGTGAGTGGCATACAGGGTATTGAAATGGAAGTGCCCATACAGTCATTTCAGATTAAGTGTGCACAGTATATTCTACAACACAAAACCTGCATTTAGCGTTTTGGGTTTTTTTTCTCCAGAATGATTTGGCAGCTTCAAGAAGCTCACACACATTTCCATTCTCAAAATCAATGCACCGAGCCACAAAGCCCAAAGCTGAAGGGCAGTGCAGCCCCGCAGGGCGCTTATCTGGGCAGAGGCCGCCGGGCAGCGCGGGCCGCAGCCGCCGCGGGGCTGTCTTTGCCGCAGCCCTCGAAGTACTGCTGCTCGATTCGCCGGCAGAAGGCCGTGAGGTTACTGTAGTTCTTCACTTTTTCAGAGAGTTCGTCAGTCGTTAGTTGAGTAGTAAGGATTGTGAACAGATGTCCAAATACCAGAGCATCTAATTCAGTTGGTCTGTAAAAACAAACAGAAAAAAAGAATAGGTATTCTGGAAAGCAAGTCATGATCAAGAAAAGCCCTGCTGTTCTGAATAGCTTTTAGATAGCCACGCAATCTTAATAATTGGGAAGGAATTGGGCAACACTGAACTTAGCCAATGCATGAAAACGGCGTCTGCAGTATATAAGCATACTGCTAGTGCTCAGTATGGCATCTTTCTTTGCCTTGGATATCTTGGAAACATGGACATAACACTTCTAAGAAGGGATAGAGTTACTCTATCAAATATCCAATATCAAACTATGCTCCACCTTTTAGTTCTGTAGCAAGGGCAAATGCTTATCTGGTCTTTTAGGAAGTTTTCTTTTTCTTCTGCAGATGTATATAAAAACACCAGCTATTACCTCACACAGAATAAAAAAATTAATAAAGGAGGGGAAAATCATAAAACCCCTATTCAACCAATAAGAAAAGGAGCTCCAGGGTGGCAGCAGCTGGCAACATCTCTTTTTTTGAAAGGGGACTACACAGAAGAAAACAGGTTCTTTGCGAAGTGGTGGTCTATTGAATGTTTCTGGTCCTACCTCATTTTAGGTACAAACCTCCTGAATTGTCATCTTGGACCCCGTATGTGACCATCACAGCCCATGTGCAAAAAATTATTTACTTTTCAAATATATTAATAACACTTCTTTGCTAGTGTTCAAGTTAAGCAGTATGAGGGTTTTCTAACTGATACATTTTTTGCCTGTCTATTTGTGGATCACTAAGAACTCTCCAGTGGAGCTGTGGACCCTTGTATAATCAAACTTATAACAGGCTGCTTTCCTTAGTTACCTCCTAGAGGCTCCCAGAAGTCACAGACTGAAACATATTGGACTAAGAACATATATGTTCAGTCACATTTGCAAGGGCTAAAAAGCTTAAAGGTTGAAACTGTATCAACAAAGCCTGGTTAACAACCAAAACAAAATGCCCAAGCTCCAGTTCTTTACAAACACAGAAAGAAAATCTAGGAGATTCTATGTTTAAGAATTGTTTGAGAAGATGCAGTTCAAACTTGTCTTCTATAATGCATATTCTGTATCTACTCAATTTACACTACCCATCTAGTCTAGACTTGGAAAAGATTAAGGGGCAGACAAACACACAGAAAAGTAACCAGGACCATATGCTGCCTTTTGAAGACATCTCCCTGTCCAGACCTGAGCATTTCTAGCCTGCTCTAAGCACAGGAGACAAGAGGGAGCTAACGTAAGGTTATTTAAACCCACAACACTTCAAAGATACTGAATTATTGGAAAAAAAAAAAAGAAAAAAAAAGTTTTCCAATTGGAGGAATATGGTAAAAGCAGAGGACATCCCATGAAGGCCAGGTTGTTCCTTTTTTCTCCCCTAGCAACATAAATCTCAGTTTTCACTTTGCAAGTGATCCTTTACTGACACAGGGCTGGCTTCTCCCAGTTCTTACAACTCACAGCACCCTCATGCCGATTCAGTTCATTCAGAACTGCCCCTGGTGTTAAGGAAGACAGGACAAACTGTCCTGGTCAGGACGGCATGGCAAACATTCACTCCCCTGTACCCAGCAGAGAACGTTACCCAGGAAATAAAAGGAGAGCTTTAAACTTATCATTTATAGTAAGAAACTAACTGTATAAAGGCGTACATTTGTAGGCTCCCTAAGTTGTGGTAGACTCTGTAGAGAAGGCAAGCAGGAGTAAAACTAAATCGTGAACAGAAAAATAACGAACAGAAACTAATAAAACCTTTTATTACTTATTTCTGAAATTTCATGCTTTATATTCCAGTCACACATTTGTATTTCCACAACTAACCACGTGGCATTAAAATAAAACACGAGTTTTCCATATATGTATTCATATGTGGATGTATTTCTCTCTCACATTCCTAGATGTAATATTTCAGTGAAGAGTAACTTACTGCTTACTGAAGAAATATGGTTGTGTTCCTAATCTCTGGGAGAGAGCCTGACAACACTGATCTACGTCTTCAAGCACCTATCAAAACATACAAGAGATAAAAGATCCGTACTGTCAGGAAATACCAACACTGCAAAAAATAACCTCCTTACTCTTCTTTGCACTGGTGGTGGGAACAAGGAACATACGACGCTGGAACATCAAAAGCTGTTAGTCAAACCTACACAGGTAGCTAAGTGTTACTTAATCTCACATTTGATGTAAGGCAATTCTGCTGAATTGCTTCCCCTAACATTTCTAACAGCTTAATGAAAGTTACTAATTTATACCTCAAAACTGCTTTGCTGCCTTTTTTTTTTTTTTTTTTAAGACCTCTGACAAGGGAAGCCACAATCCTGCAAAGTGTGCGTATTAACAACTTGTTTTCAGGACTGCAGCCTAAACTCACATCACCAGGGATGTACAGTCATGGAAAAACATCCCTGCTCCCAGCCCATCGGGTTGCACTTAAATTTATTGCTTCTGAAAGCAAATCCCCGACTCCAGATAATGTTTTAAAGTACAGACTGTATTTTTTAAGATCTGTTTCAAGAAAGCGTTACTCTCCAAAGCCTGAAAAAAGTGTAAAGAAATAAGCTTCACTTTTCATACTGACCTGTTGAGGGGTCTTTCCAGCCCATCCAATGGCTTTCATCTTTCGCCTTACCTCCCACTGCTTCTGATAGGACAAGATGCGGTTAAGAGGCCATGGGTAAGGGGAGCCGTATCTTGGGTGAGTAATCTTTGGTCACAAACAGAGAGATACTGTGTTATCATATAACAAGATACAGACATCTCTATGCACGAAATAGCAAATATTCAAATACTTCTATCAGAAAAGGAGCTGTAAAACAAAGGGGAGTTGTGTGATACGCTGCAATCATTTCTGCAGAACTTGTAGTTTGCAGCATAACCATTGAAAACTATTACTTCAGAAATGTATACAATGCCTGTATCTGCTCCACAGTCAGCTACCTCCAAGTAATGACACAACTCCCCTAAAATGTATATGCAAGCAAAATTAAAGTGAAAAGACTGTATCATTAATGGTATCAACCTCAATGTTTCATTTATGAGTAGGGACTTGCAATTGTGAGCAAAAGTGTTTGCTCATTAAATTTTCATTAAGATAAATGCTGCAGAACCACTCACCTCCTCTGCTGTAACATCATCACACCACTGGAGATAGAGCTAGGAACAGAAAGAACACTTACTAAAACTTCCTAATAAAGGAGAACAAAGACAATAATTTCTCACCAGTAGAATTTTCTTTCTTGTATTAGATTAAATTTTCATTCTATTCCTTCCGTTAGACCTCTGAATGTAGAAAAGAAATTAAAACTGGAAGGCAAAAGCCCTGCCACCAGCCCTGCTTTTGCCAGGCCCGGGCTGCGACCAGAGGCCCGGACACGTCACCAGTCCCCGGCTCCCCAGCGTTCCCAACGCCATCCCGAGGCGCCCCGCAAGGGACCCCGGGCTCCCCCCGGCGCGTGAGCGCA